AAAAAAAAAAAAAAAAAGCAAGTCAGACCCAGTTCCAAGTTGCTTCCGTTCTGAGAACGCTTGGGAGTTGCTAATTACCCTTGAAATCAACCCCAATCACCTCTCATGGCCCCTGGCTGAGGCCTCTCGCAAGAGCTCTTCAATGCTCCTTTCACTCCAGGCACACCAGCTTGTGCGTGCCACGGGGCCTTTGCACTTGCCTGGCACACTCTCCTTCCACACCTTCCCGTGGCTGGTTCTTAGCTATTATCTCAGCTCACATACCTTTCAGAGAGACCTGCCCTAACCAGACCAGCTCCTCGATGCCAATTGCATTTTACTTTTTTCTAAACACTCACCATTATCTGAAATTATCTTGCATATTTCTATTCTTGATCTGTCTCTCTCTCCCTTGAGAAAGTTAGCTCCATGAGAACAGGAGCCTTATCTACTTTATTCATCACTATACCAGTGGGGCCTGAAAGGGCGTGGCATCTGAGATATGCTCAAAGTCTATTTTGTTACATGTTTGTCTCCATTTGTTGCCCAGGTTGGAATGAGGTGGTACAATCATAGCTCATTGCAGCCTTGAACTCCTGAGCTTAAGCAATCTTCCCACTTCAGTGTTCTGAGTAGCTGGGACCACAGGCCTATGCCACTACACTCAGCTAAGTTTTAAAAAAATCCTTGGAGATGGGGATCTGGCTTTGTTGGCCAGGCTAGTCTCAAATTCCTGGCCTCAAGCAATCCTCAAGCCTCAGCCTCCCAAAGCCTGGGATTAAGGCATAAGCCACCAGGTTCTTGATAAATGCCTGAGACCCTCTGGGGTTGGGGCCTGAGAGCAGCATCTTCCTAGCTCCGTGTTCGAGGAGCAGCTGAGGTCTGAGACTGTTGGGTGGTGGTCAGGCTGGGTGCAGAGCAGGGCTGGGGAGGGGTGGGGGCCACCTACCCATTAGGCCGGTCTCTGGTAGCCCTGCGAACCTCTGCATGACCTTGATGGCATCGCTCAGCTTCTCAGGGCTCTGCAGCTGGGCCTGAGCAGGGTCGGGTGGCGGCAGGTAACCATAGCGCGTCAGCCACTCCTAGGGCATCGGAGGGGACAGGTGAAGCGGGCTGGGTGAAAAGCATGGGGTATCCCTGCCCACCACCATCCTAGCAGCCCTGCCCCTCCCAGGCATCCAGAGCCCACGGCCCCAGCCCGGATGTCCGCCTGCTCCACTCTGAAGGTCCTCGCTTCAGTCCTGAGTTTGCCAGTCTTTGTCTGGACTTCAGCTCCTCACCCCAGCTCCCTTCCAGAGCTCCAAATCCCAGCCCCAAACCTCCCGACAGACCCAAGAATCTGGGCGCCCAGATCCCATCCTCGGTCACTCTGAATATTGTAATTTGGCTCCTGCCGCCTTGGGACCCAGGAGTCCGGGCCGAGCTTCCCTCTCCCAGCCTCCTTGCAGATCCCAGGAGCCTGCTGACCCCGCGCTCACCACGCCCAGGCTCACGTCCTGCGCGGAGGGCTTCGGGGCGCGGGCCGGCGGCAGCAGCAGCGGCAGCAGCAGCGCTAGGAGCCCAAGTCTCAGCCGCAACCGCAGCACCTGCAGCCGCATGGCGAGCCTCAGCTCCGGCCGTCTGCGGGGCTCGAAGAGGGTCTGGCCGGCGCCGCCCCGGGGACTTGGGGGAGGAGATCCGGGCTTGGAGAGTGTCAGGGGCACCCGGCGCGGAATAGGGAGGGATGCACTGGAGGGCTGGGTGTGTCCGGGGGTCCCGGGAAGCGCGCAGTGGAGTCAGCGGAGGGTACAAGAGGTCCCGGGTCAAGCCGCTGGGTCGGGTGGGCCCGGGAATCCCAGCACGGTTGAGAGGGCGCAGGAACGGCGGAGGTCCGGTTTCGCCGCGGCGGGCTCTCCGGGTCCCGGGGCTCTGCGCCGGCTGCCCCTCCTCTCCCGGCTAGTGCAGAGAACTGGGTGGGGCGGGCCGGGCGCACCCGGATAAGCAGTAAGGGCGCGGCAAGGAAAATGGCCCAATCTTCGGACGTCCAGCGACAAGGGGCGGGCCAAGCGGTGGCCCCCGCCCCGACCCAGGGACCCTCCTCCGACGGAGGACGCCCCGGGGGTGGGGGGGTCCACTGCTTCAACTTCGTCGTCCGCAAGTTTCTCTTCCCAGATCCCCGCTCCTGTGGGACTCCCCGGGGCAGGACTCGTTTCTGCTTTCTCGAAGTCCCGCGGCGGGAAGAGGGCGTCCCGGACCTCTGGCTCGGCTAGCCCTCCCCATCCTCCTATCCCATCCCCCTTCTTCCCCTAGGACCTCATGGTGCTGGTCTTTTGAGAGCTGGGGGGATTTCCGGGCAGCTGGAGGCTGGGAAGGAAGCCTCCTTCCCCGCGGGGTCCCGGCCCGCAGCCCTCCCAGCCAGCTCCAGCTGTGCGCGGTTGCGGCTGCCAGAGGGCGGGATACTCCGGCCCCAGCCCACGTGGGCTGCGCGCCGGGCTCGCCCGCGGCACGCGGGGGTTTGAGCCCTTCTAGGTCCCGGGGGCAGGAGCTGCTCCGCGACTGCGCCTCTCTCCCCAGGTGCCAGACATTTAAATGCAACAACCTCTGCGCGGAAGCCGCAGCTCAGGTCTGTGCTGGGAGCCGAGGACAAGGGAGTGGATGGGTGGGCGGCGGCGATCCAGGAAGCAGAGACCTGGGGGTCTGCGAGCCGCCCCCTCCCGCGCCCTCAGCACGGGGCTAGGAGGCCCGGCAGCTGGGGAAGGAACTGGAGGAAGCGGGCGGGAGGCTTCCTGGCGAGGGCGAGTGTGAGTTAAACTGCTCAGTCCCGGAGCAGCTGGGGGTCCGCCGCCGAGCTGCTCACAAAAGCAGCCAGCAGGATGCGGAGCTGGAGAAGCAAAGGCAAACACGGCGATCCCGTGCCCGCTCGCTGGGGCGCCGGAACAAAACAGCACGGACTGGGAGGCTCAACCAGAAGTTTACGTTCTCACAGTTCTGGAAGCTGGAAGGCCAAGATCAAGGTGCCTGCGGGGCGGGTATCTCCTGAAGCCTCCTCGGGGGCGGGCAGAGGGCGTCTTCTTGCTGTTTCCCCACACGGTCCCCCCAGGTGTCTCGAACTCTTTTTTTGGTGGGGGCGGAACGGAGCCTTGCTCTGTCTCCCAGGCTGGAGTGCGCTGGCGCGATCTCGGCTTAAGGCAGAGGCTTACTCCTAGGCTCAGGCAATCCTCCCACCTCAGCCTCCCAAGTAGCTGGGACTATTGGCCCAAGCCACCATCCCCATTTTTTTTTTTTTTTTTTTTTTTTTTTTTTTGAGACGGAGTTTCGCTCTTGTTCCCCAGGCTGGAGTGCACTGGCGCGATCTCGGCTCACTGCAACCTCCGCCTCCTGGGTTCAGGCAATTCTGCTGCCTCAGCCTCCTGAGTAGCTGGGATTACAGGCACGTGCCACCATGCCCAGCTAATTTTTTGTATTTTTAGTAGAGACGGGGTTTCACCATGTTGACCAGGATGGTCTCGATCTCTTGACCTCGTGATCCACCCGCCTCGGCCTCCCAAAGTGCTGGGATTACAGGCTTGAGCCACCGCGCCCGGCTTTTTTTTTTTTTTTTTTGGTAGAGACGGGTTCTCACTATGTCACTCAGGGGTTCTTGAACTCCTAGGTTCAACTAGTTCTCCTGCCTCAGGCTGCCAAAGTGCCAGGATTACGGGGATTACAGGTGTAAGCCGCCGCCCCCGGTCCAACAAAAATTTTGATAGGGCACAATTTATTCCATAACAGATTCCATGTTTGTCATCAGATTGGCAAAATTTTAAAGTCTGACAATGCCAAGTATTGGGCAGGTGTGGCCCAGATGAAATTCGAGCTCTAGCTAGGCTGTGGTGGCTCACACCTCTCATTCCAGCACTTTGGAAGGCCAAGGCAGGATGATCCTTTGAGATTAGGACTTTGAGAGATCCAGCCTGGGCAACATACTGAGACGCCATTTCTTTTTTCTTTCTTTCTTTCTTTTTTTTTTTTTTTTGAGATGGAGTGTCACTCTTGTTGCCCAGGCTAGAGTGCAGTGGTGCGATCTCAGCTCACTGCAACCTCCACCTCCGGGGTTCAATCAATTCTCCTGCCTCAGCCTCCCAAGTAACTGAGATTACAGGTGGACGCTGCCACGCCCAGCTAATTTTTTTCCGTATTTCAGTAGACAGGGGTCTCACCATTTTGCCCAGGCTGGTCTCGAACTCCTGAGCTCAGGCAATCCACTCGCCTCAGACTCCCAAAGTTCTGGGATTAGAGGAACGAGCCACCATGCGCAGCTCTAAGACCCCATTTCTACCAAAAACAGAATGAAATTGATGCTCTGCAGGATAGGAAGCATTTGTTCATATGGAAATAAAATAAATAAAGAGAAATTTACCCTCTGCAGATAGAAGGATGTTTTGTGATTTACCCTATGCCCCAAATTTTTTTTTTTTTTTTTTTTTATTTTTTTGAGAATGGATTTTGTTTTTGTTGCCCAGGCTGGAGTGCAGTGGATCTATCTCTGCTCACTGCAACCTCCACCTCCCAGGTTCAAGTAATTCTCCTGCCTCAGCTTCCCATGTAGCTAGGACTACAGGTTTGCACTGCCACTCCTAGCTAATTTTTTGTATTTTAGTAGAGACGAGGTTTCACCATGTTACCCAGACTGGTTTGGAACTCTTGAGCTCATTCAATCCACCCACGTCGGCCTCCCAAAGTGCTGGGATTACAGGCGTGAGCCACCACATCCGGTCCTCTTTTTATTTTTTGTTTTAGAGACGGAGCTTGTTGCCCAGGCTGGAGTGCAATGGCGTGATCTTGGCTCACTGCAACCTCCACCTCAGGGGTTCAAGCAATTCAAGGAGAGGCTTTTATTGTGGTTAGGGGATAAAGTGGGATGAGGGTCCCTTCCAACCAGCCAGGGTTTTCCTAATTTAAATTTCTCTCTAGGGTGGGGGAGAGAGCACCAGGACCTTCGAATCAGAGGACCTTCAGATCATCCTGCCCCGATGTTTTTTTTTGTATCGTATTATTTTATTTTTGTTTGTTTGCTTGTTCCTTTCATTTGTTAGTTTTTTTCCTTGTGGTATTTTTTTTTTTTTTGGAAGGGGGGTTGTTTGTGTGTTGGTTTGTTTTTGAGATGGAGTTTCGCTCTTGTTGCCCAGGCTGGAGTGGTACAATGGTGCGATCTCGGCTCACTGTAACCTCTGCCTCCTGGATCCAAGTGATTCTCCCACCTCAGCCTCCCAAGTACCTGGAATTACAGGTGTGTACCACCACGCCTGGCTAATTTTTTGTATTTTTAGTAGAGACAGGGTTTCTCCATGTTGGTCAGACTGGTCTGGAACTCCCGACCTCAGGTGATCCACCCACCTTGGCCTCCCAGAGTGCTGGGATTACAGACATGACCCACCTCGCCTGGCCTTTTCTTTGTGTTTTGGGGGATTTTTCTGTTTATTTTTCACCTTCTTTTTGTTTTGTTTTGTTTTTTTTCTAGGAGTTTAAACATTGGATGGAACGCTATAGAGTGATTAGTAAACACAAGCTCAATCCAGATGCATTATCCTAGAGAGATCGCAGGAATATTTTTTTCTTAGACAGGGTCATGTTCTGTCACCCATGCTGGAGTCCAGCGGTGCAATCATAGCTCATTGCAGCCTCTGTTGAGCCTCCTGGGCTCAACTGATCCTCCTACCTTGGCTTCCCAAAGCACTGAGATTACAGGAATAAACCACTGGGCATGGCCTCAGAAACGCTTCAGAAATAAGTGCCTGAGTTCTTCAAATGTGAATGCCTGAAAGACACAGAAGAAGGCAAGGTGACTATTTAAGAGTAAATGAAACTAAATAGGGCTGGGTAAGGTGGCTCTCACCTGAAATCTCAGCACTCTGGGAGGCCAAGGTGGGTGGATCAACTGAGGTCAGGAGTTCAAGACCAGCCTGGCCAACAGGGCAAAACCCCATCTCTACTAAAAAAGAGTAAAAAATTAGCCTGACGTGGTGGTAGGTGCCTGTAATCCCAGCTACTCCGGAGGATGAGGCAGGAGAATCACTTGAATCCAGGCGGCAGAGGTTGCAGTGAGCTGAGATCAAGCCATTACACTCTAGCCTGGGTCTCAAAAAAAAAAAAAAAAAAAAAGGACCGGAGTGCACGAGCAGCCGGACCAACCGGGTGAAACGCCGTCTTAAAAAAGAAAAAAAGAGGTGAGAGAGATGGCCCACGCCTGTAATCCCAGCATTTTGGGAGGCTGAGGTGGGCGGATCATCTGAGGTCAAGAGTTCAAGACCAACCTGACCAACATGAGAAACCCATCTCTACCATAAATACAAAAATTAGCCAGGCATGGTGGCAGGAGCCTGTAGTCCCAGCTACTCGGCAGGCTGAGGCAGAAGAAACACTTGAACCCAGGAGGCAAATGTTGCAGTGAGCCAAGATCGCACCATTACACTCCAGCCTGGGCAACAAGAGTAAAACTTTGTCTCAAAAAATATATATTAGCATGCATTGTGGTGCACACCTGTAATCCCAGCTACTCAGGAGGCTGAGGCAGGAGAATCGCTTGAACCCTAGAGGCAGAGATTGCAGTGAGCCGATTGTGCCACTGCACTCCAGCCTGGACAACAGAAAGAGACTGTCTCAAAAGAAACACAGAGACAGGGTCTTGCTGTGTTGCCCTGGCTGGAGTGCAGTAGCTATCCGAAGGCTCCATCATAGCACACTGCAGCCTCCAATTCCTGGAGAGTTGGAAAGAGAAAAGGAAAAAAGAAAGCAGAGTGGTGGTTGCCAGGGGTTGGGGTGAGGAAAGAGATTGACTGCAAAGGGGCAAGGACAACTTTTTGAGGTGATTCATCATGACTGTAGTAGTAGTTACATTACCAAATGTGTTTGTCAAAACTCATCAACGGAAAGACATAAAATTGATGAATTTAATTATATGTAAAGTATTCCTTGTAGTGGGTTAAATTGTGTGTCCCCCGACTGGGAGAGGTGGGTCACGCCTGTAATCCCAGCACTTTGGGAGGCTGAGGCCAGCGGATTGTCTGACCTCAGGAGTTTGAGACCAGCCCAGGCAACACAGTGAAACTCCATCTCTATTAAAATAACAAAAATTAAGACTGGGCGAAGTGGCTCACGCCTGAAATCTCAACACTTTGGGAGGCTGAGGAGGGCGGATCACGAAGGCAGGAGATTGAGACCATCCTGCCTAACATGGTGAAACCCCCCTCTATACTAAAATACAAAAAATTAGCTGGGTGTGGTGGCAGGTACCTGTAGTCCTAGCTACTTGGGAGGCTGAGGCAGGGGAATTGCTTGAACCCAGGGGACAGAGTTTGCAGCTAGCCGAGGTTAAGCCATTGAACTCCAGCCTGGTGACAGAGGGAGACTCCGTCTCAAAAAATAAGAAGAAAAAGAAGAGAAAGAAAAAAAATTAGCCAGACTGGCTGTGTGCACCTGTAATCTCGCTACTCAGGAGACAGGAAAATTGCTTGAACCCGGGAGGTGGAGGTTGCAGTGAGCCTGTAGGGTCCAGCCCCACAGGGCCCTGTGAGCCCC